AGCATGGATAAATGTTCATAAAATACATCCATTGTTTGTTCTATATGCTTCTTGAAATCCTAGTTCTTTTTACGGAAAGAGAGGGGTTTTAGGTTGCCATAAGGCTGTTGACGTTCTTATTATAGGCTACATCCATTGGTTGGTTTTGTGGCGCATTTGTAACGCTGTGCCAACTTGGGCAAGCACGCAGGCAAACTTGAGGAGCGCACACAGGGTGGAGAGATGGAATGAGGTTGAGCGATGGAGAGGAAGGGAGATAGAGAGATTGAGCGAGGCAGAGAGCGTGTGCAGCGGTCTGCTTAACAGAGCAGTTTGTGAGAGAGCCAGCTTGAGAGTCAATTTCTCTTCAAAATATAATTGATTGCCAGCCTCCCTTGTCCCTGGCTGGCTTGCTAGCTCGTTGGTAACGTAACTGATATCTTCTAATGTGCCTGCATCTGGCGCTGAGTTGCCATATTCCTTTCGTGAACCACTTCCTGATATCCATTGTTGCAGATAAATATAAATGGTAATAGCCAAACTAATCTAGCAAGAGTAAACTGACAGGCTGCTGTGCCGCATCTCACTGAAAAACCCACACGACTCAACCCAGCGAAAAAACCAGCCTCGCGCGCCTTTCATTCACAATTTCATAGCAAAATAAAAAAATGATATTAAACCAATCTTTCAACATAGCTTAAAACAAGAATACATATTAGGACAAAGCCCTACAAATAACAACAATACACATAGGCCTAACAATAAAACAATTAATATGTTGTATTCAGCCCTGATTAAAACAGCGGGCCCAAATCCTGTATGGGCGGGCCCAAATCCTGGATGGGCGGGCCCGGCCCCATGGGGCCCGCCCATGACGCCGTGTCTGACACACACACACCTTTGATTTTGATTGATTGTGTTGCAAGTGACAGGCCTTCATCCACAGAGGGGGGGGATGCATAATGATGCCCTCCACCAGTCCTAATTGATTTCTCATCAGCCCACCTGATCTCCAGCTGCTCTTTCATTCTCCGTCTCAATTAGCATTCAGAGAAACCAGAGAAAGAGAAAGTCAGAGAGGTGGAAGACCCTCCCAAACTATACAAAATTAACAGTAAGAAAAATGACAGGTTCACAGTTGTGTTGGGATCAAACGAAACATAACTCTGGTTCAATGGATCCACCAGAAGCAATTATATTTGAAAATGCTTGATTAGCTCAAGAGAGACCAATTGTCTTACAGGCTATGAGATGAATTGATTGTTAAAGGGGGAAACGCAGCAGGGGAATCAGGATAAACAGACAGAAGTAAAGTGTTCAATCAAAAATGTAAAAAATAAAAAACAATTATAAATGTCCCAACACTTTTTAAGGTTGAAATACTTTAATATGCTATTTATGTCACTTTTACTTAAATTGCTGACACTCATTTCTTTGGCATGGTTGTGTACCTATTTGTCTATTTTGTTACCAACGTGTGTTTTTCTTTATTATTGCATGCCTTTTTGACTTGCTATGCCACTTTTGCGGTACTAGCTTGGACTAATAAAGGTATTCTGATTCTTAAACCTTGGTGCAGGGTGTGGTTTGAGAATCCCTGACTGCCCAATATCACCCTGCTTCCTGTAGTAACTCACAAAAGATCAGGAACCAGCTTAATTTCATGACCTGCATACACATTTTATTCCCTGTTATGGGAAGTACGCCGCTTGAGACTACTTCCACTGGCCCCCTCTACACAAGGGGGGGGGGGGGGGGGGTGCTCCATGTGTCCGCCTCAGGATAACTCACAGCTAAGGGTTCCTGGGCCAAGATGGGCAGGGTCATGTTCTGGGATCAAAGAGGCAGCCCCCAAGTAGCCCTAAAGGTCAAACATGCCGCCCCCCCCCCCCCGTTTCGGATGTGGACCACAGAGTGCATTATGGGACAGCGTCACTGAAACCCTTGACTTCCTGGCTACCTCAAGGTTCTTCCTGTGTGATGCAAGTCCTGAAATATGAAGGAACTGCAGTGTATACACACTTCTTATGTAATGCGAATCAAATGTGATGAACTCAGGAGAACCGACAATGTGCCAAGCTGTTTGACAAACATGTCAACACCTGAATATGTTCCCTCACCAGACACAACGCCACACTTTGACCCAAATACAGCCCGGAATATTCAGGATATTAAAATGCAGTGTCTGCTGCGCAGTCCTGTCTGGAGAATAACACTGTTTGATTTGAGGAGGCAGGCTGGCACACCGCCCGAGGCTGTAATAAATAATTAGCAATAATGGGTGCACTCGGCGCGACACTGAGCTTTAGATTTAGGGCAGGGAGGAACATTAGCATCCTCACATGGGAGGGGGACAGGGAGATGGATCGTAGCTGAGCAGGACAACAATGGCTGCATGTCATTGATGCTATTTGCTCATCATGTAGTAATTTAATATTCTAGGCTGCTAGCTCTGCCCTTAGAAAAGAGAGAAAGACTGTCACTGCTCATCAAACACTATGGCACCTTCATTTTCCAGTTCTATGAAATATATAACCGGGTCTGTGGAAATAATGGCACATAAACTGATAACAGCGGGAGCCAGTTTCAGGGAGGTAAAATGGGAAATGTCTAAATTAAGAATGAAACTTGAGATAAGAGTTTCGAGGAGCCTGGAGATTTATTTCATGTGGTGGGTATTGCCGGAGCTGAGAACACATAACTAGGCTAACATGCCAAGAGGAAGAAAAAATAAACAAGGAGTGCAAGTTAAATTTACACGACCTTACGATAAGAACAGACTGAAGGAGGAGAGTCTGGTCTGAGGGTGAAGTGTTCTCTCTGTGAAGTGTGTGAGTGTTTCTTTGTGATGAGGAGAGTGGTCTCTTAAATCCTGAAATATTAAGACATAGGGCTGGTCCTTACTTTTTTAATATGCCATTTATGATTCGTGTTTGAGGAAAAGGTTATAAAAGGTGGTGAGGGTTGGAATAACTTTTTAACAGGGGATGTAAAATGTCTCTTCAGGAAACAGATGATGTGATTGTGGTATTTGCAACTTGACGAAAAGACCTGTCAGACTCCACGGTGTTTTCTGACATCCAACATGAGATGGAAGACAGAGCAGTTATTGTTATGATGAGGTGTAATAACATCTATGGAGAAGCCTGTAGATGTTATCAAGCTCAGCAAACAGCGGGACACTGAAATGTGAAACGCTAGAAGACCCAGAAATCATGTTTCTGGACTTTTCAATTCAGACGACCTATCTTGAGCAAGGCACCGGACTGAGTCCAATGGAGGTGTTTCAGGCAGGGGGGGGGAGGAGAGAGACTCCCTCTGGAGGGAACACAGGGATGTTAGCCTCTGCAGACCATTCACATGCACTGAAACCTCTACAACACTACAGGAGAGGGAGAACCCATAAAGCAGAATAAGGCCCCTTTAACAACAACTTACACCGAATCCACTAGCTGAGTGTTATTGCAGGAAGTACTGTTCCGTACATACTGGTGTCCTACAAAAATAGGTTTTGTGTTCTTTAGGTTTTTTATGTAGCAACAAAGTTAGAGTCTGGATTCCTATCCGCACCACAGTTGCTACAAACATTGAAAGTGATTGAAGGTTTCACAGAGTTGTTTGATTTTGAAGTTATTGCCTTGGCTGATCCCAGCTTTAGGAGATAATTAAAGTTAGATAGCCTCAAAGTAAACACAGCAGACACATGTTTGGACGGCTCAGCACACACACTGAGCTGCAGTAAGACGGATCACAGTGTGGTTTGTTCCACTGCTGTTGTATTAACACGCTGTTGTGTGATGTTCAGCAAAGGCAGACAAAGTGCTTACAAGCAAAGCATCTTTCCTCCCCCACCACCCCCCCCCCTAAACACACTCAACGTGTGATTTTCACCAACATACTGAGGCCATCACACACAGGGGAACACAAATACACACACACACTCCCAGCAGGACTTCCTCTGGGGACTGGATTTGACAGGCAGCTGACACAGACTGCCACACACACACACACACACACACACACACACACACACACACACACACACACACACACACACACACACACACACACACACACACACACACACACACACACACCTGATTCTGAGATACATACACACGCTTTTTTTTTAGCTGTACCATATTTCATATATGTTTTTATTTAATTTTGAGGGGGACCTTAGTGCCAATAATGTCTCTCTATCTATCGAGCATCAATATCTGGATTAAAGGGCTGGTGCAGCATTAAGAGAAGCAGTACTGTTATCTGCAAAGCACTCACATGACATTCTGAAGTAAGGACATCATGCCTAATGTCAATGTGTTAAGCATTCATGTATCAGATTTTTACCATATTGTTTTTCCCCTTCTGTATCCTTGCTTCTTCATTCCATTCCATGACTCAGTCATGTTCAGGAATTTGATTTGAATAAGCAATTCCAAAGATTGGCTGTGGGAGTGATCGAACAAGCACATTTCTTATTCTGACTAAAGGCAACATGGAACTCATGTGAGATGTATCTTACACACATATAGCTTTATGAGGGATATGGGCCTTAGGAAAAAGGTGAGACAGAAGAAAAGCAAAAGCTTTTTGGGAATTATTTTCACTGATTTGTATTAGGACAATTCCCCTTTCTCTTGGCTGAATAAAGATATTCTATTATTTTGGTATGGTGAATTGAAAGTCCAGTCATTATGTTTAATGGTACGTCCTGAAATGGCATTTCCTTGGTTCTAGCAGAGGACAGCATATGGAAAGATACCAACAACTGGGTCAACAAGTATCAAGGACAATCTCTAATTCATTATCAGAGGTAAGAATTCATACTATAACATAAGTTGATGTCATGTAGTGAGGACCATTGTGGGTATTCTCTGGTGAGGCCCTCTGCCACTGTGTGTTCAATCTTAAAACGGTAAAACATATGAATTATTATTATAGAGATATAAATGTACAGTTAAGAGTTGAAACCCACAGAGAAACACAAAGACAACACTTTGTCCAAACACACACTCTCCTCTTGGTTTATGTACAATACCCTCCCTGAGCTCTTTATTCATCTGACACTTTTCTTCTAAAACACGTTTCTCCTCAAGGAATGCCAATGAAAAGCTTCTACACTTTATATTTAGCGTCAATGATAAACATATCAACATTTGTGGCTCTGGTATTTCACAAAGGAAGCTTTTGATTCAGAGCTTTTTAGACATCGATTCACTTTCAGAACACAACAACACTGAGTGAGGATCTCATGGCCACACAGCCTGGTGCTACATCCAACGTGTAGAGGCACCATGTGGGATTCATGAGTACATGACTGCAGCATTTTGATACACTTTGAATACATTTTACAATGTGAAGGATATTTAAGGTTTTATGCAGTACTTTTTATTGCATTAAATAGTTAGATGGGATGAAATGGAATACTCACAGGATGGGCCGACTGAGATGGAGTGATGCAGAAAGGGTTGGAAAAGAAAAGAGGCAGAGGAAGACGAGTGAGTATGAGATGATGGGATCGCTGACAGAATGTAAAGTCTCTCAGTGAGAGTGGACTGCAGGGAAACTGTCTGATATTTAATGAAGTGTTCCCAAAAGAAAGAAGCAGTGGAGCTGCAGGAGGGGTGATGAGCTGAATGTGCACACAGGTGAAGATACGAGCTGGTGGTCTGATTGATCGGGGGGGGGGAGAGGCTGGGTATTTCTATTATCCCTAATCCTGCAGATGCATGCAGGAACCCACAATCAATCTCTGTTTGTCTAGCAGATGCTGCTGGGATCACTCCTTCCTACCAGTAATGTGTGTCTGCTGTGGATACAGTATGTGGGCATACACGTTGACAGAGAGTGGGTACACAGTGGAGGGCTTGCTAAAAGAATGAACTGATACAAAATGAGACTCTAAAATTCTCTTTCATCATCACAAGTGACAGATTCTCTTCAGAGTGCCTCTCTTCATGAACAGACTTTATTCTCATGATATGTGAATGCTTTTTGATCTTAGCTCTCTCAGAGGGAAGAATATTTGAGAAAACTTAAAGTCTAATCTTCACTTTCTCTCTCTCAAAGTTTCAGCATGTGTCCCGTGGCATACTAAGGTGAGTTATAGCCAGCCACAATGTCTGTCTTCCTGTCTTGTCAAAGATGTCTCTGTCTTCCTATGGGTAATATGTGTATCTTGGACAATGGTAATGAATAAAGGGAAGACAGTTAAATAAAGCCTGCTGGTAGGTGAGATTTTTTGTGAAACATCATTGCATCACCGTCCATCTGTGAAAATCATGTACATACTCAGTGTTCAAATCTCATGTTCTGCCAGTGCAGAATGGGCCCTAGTGAAGGGTTACTTACTTAGGTTTAACGCCGAGTAAGACTTTTCTTACTTTCTATTATTGAGAAAGATACACTTTATGTAATACATTTACCAAGGTAATGGAAATGAAACATAAGGCACTTGTTCCTTTGTATTAAACTCAATGAGAAGAAGAAACGTTTTGCATTTATATTCTGCTAATCCACTCGTATGTATTCTGTAAGGTATTTATCTGAACATTGCACATATTTCAAAAATGTCCAAAATTGGGATCAATAAAGTACTATCTTATCTTATCTTAACAATATGTATTCATCTCTATATATCTTAACAGTTTCACCCAATTCCAATATTCTGTATATTGTATTCCTATTATCATTGTGTGAACTCTTGCCTGTCCTTTACTTTGTTTCAATCTTATTTCTGTTGCTACTGTACAGTGGTGTACCGTGAATATCACAACTGGACCTTCTGTAGAGACACATAACCCCCCCCCCCCCAACCATCTTATCTTATCTTATTTTAACTTATCTTAGCTGCATCATACTGTGCTGCCCCTGTCAGTCCCTGTGGCTGGAATATCAGATGCTTCATCAACAAAGTGAATTGAAGATTTGAGGGATGAATACACCGCCACTTGTCTCACCGTGCACTTGCAGGCTGCCGGACGCCTCGGCCTTGCCCACGCTGTTCTCAGACACGCAGGTGTACGTGCCCTCGTCCTCGCCTCGCACCTGGGTCAGATGCAGACTGTTGTCGCTGCGGATCTGAAACCTGGAAAGAAAACACTTTTCTGAAAACAACATTTTTGGTCCACCGAGAGAAAAGTTGATGCAGTGCAGGAAAAATAAGATTGTGTTTTTTAAATCTCACAGTATAGCTTTAGGCAGATCTAACTCCAGCTGACAACAATATTATACCCTGTTTCCCCTGAGGGATCATTAGAGTTTAATACAGTATGATACACACTACAGACACTGTGTCACCTTGCAGTAGTCTTGTGACATTACTTTCATTATTAGTGACGGCAGGTTCCACAGCTGCCTAAATATGTTGCTTAGAATTTTGTTGATTGTGTCTGTACTTGTTCAGTGTAAACATAAAACACAATCATTTTTGCTCCATGAAAGCTGGGATTTGTTTCAATGTCCTGTCCATTACACCTCCAATAACGGGAAAAACATCTTCAATTGTTTTTGTTATTTTGTTTACAAGACCAAAAAATGCATACACTCTCTGAAAGTCATATTATAAATCAATTGTTTAACTTTTCTCTGCTTAGCACAGCACATGCAGACTGATTCCATCATCAGAAGCTGTTATATCATCAGTGAAATGATTCATAAACTACGACCCGCATGTTGTGTTGGTGTAGTGATGCCAGTGTGGTTCTGACAGTGTTTTCTGCGTACCTGCCCCGGGGCAACTCCCCCTCCTCCCTCCGCCAGCGGACAGTGGGAGTGGGGTCTCCGTGCACCTCGCAGAAGAAGTCCACCGTGTCCTCCGCCAACACAACCTGGTTCACCGGCTGCTTAATGAACACTGGCCTCTCTGAAATGAGACAGAGGATGGAGGAGTGATGAAACATTGTGGCACTGCACTTTAATGTGACTGACCCTCCAGGGTAATGAGATTGTCACAGCAGCGTGATACTGTATGATGAACACAAAACACAAAGTGACCACAGGGAATTACATGGAGGAAAGTAAAACTTTGAGCAGCACAACAAAACACACTGAAAAAACTGTACGGTTGACTTTAAGTAAATATATTATGTCAACACATTTTATATAACTGTATTAGGTTAGTGGAAAGCAATAATATTAAGTTGAACCTAATATTTGTATTTAAACTTGATACTATTGCTTTCAACTAACCTAATTCAGTTATGTGAAATCTGTTGACAACATACATTCAATTGCATCTTTTTCAGTGCATGTTAACATGATGAAAGAAGAAGGAGGATTTGCATCACAGTTAAAGGTCTGATGCCGGTCCAGAAAAAGATTTAGTTACACACATGGGACAATCAATCCGCCAGAGACCAGTGAGACTAACGTGCATGTCAGCTCTTATCATGATCATAATCAGTTATAAACTGGCATAGCCTCCAGAAAGGAGTTCAGATGAGCACTGGCTATAGTCATGCACATTTCACAAATGGCAGTAATATTAAATATAAGGGCAGCGTCAGGTCATACATTTTCAGGAACCATACGCTGAGAAATGAAGTTTAACACACTGGGTTAACATGTACTGCTGTGTGTAAGGAGCAGCATCTGGGTGGGGGTGCGGCGGAGGGGGTTTGGTGAGACCGAAAAGAAAATATCAATCTTCTATCTGTTTCCTCGGATCAATACACACTTTGAAAACGATTATGCTGCTGAGAGCAAAGCAGGGAATAAGAGGGAAGGAAAGATCAGAGAGGTCAAAGGTCAGTGGGGGGGAAATATCCATCTGCTGCGCCAACATCAGCTGAGGAGTGAAGCCCCTCAGGAGACAGGAAACTGAGGCAAATGTGAGGCTTTCTATGAGAACCACTACACATTTCTCATCAGAGTAACATTAAACGTCCTTCATTCATTTCAAGGTCCAATACTTGACATACAATTACGATACAATTACTCTACTTTAGACTAATTACACGGTTATTTAAATACATGTTATAACTTTACTGTATAATCTCAACTGTAAAAATATGGCAGATCTTTGCATATTAAATGAGGTTCCTTGTATTTAAAAATAACCATCCTTTTTACCGCCCACATTTCAGAATTTGTAATGCAATAACAAATAAGATTAGCATCATTTCTATTTGTTTAGTTTCCCATGCAGCATTTACAAGTGGACCATTATGAATGAGATGCAGGAAACAAGACTTACCGAACACCACCAGCTCAGCAGGGTCACTGTCTTTCTCCCCCACCATGTTGGTTCCAACACACACATACATGCCAGCGTCACTTTTCCTGGTGTTGGAAATCATCAACTTTCCTCCTCGCATCTAAAAATGAGGAGCATAGGTAGGGATAGCGAGGATGGA